TCCTCTCCTGGTGAAACACACCTCCAACTGCAGCCCTCCATTCGACAGCCTGGATGGGACAGCCCCTTGTCCCCTTCCCTCACCCCTGCCCCAGCCTCTGCAGAGGTAACCTCTAGGCAGGACAAGGGGGCAGTCCACAGAGGAGGCTGGGAGGAGATGATGATTCAGGCAGAGGACAGGGCAAAGGCACAAGGGTCGGCGAGGGCCGACTGGCGGGGGAGCCCAGCAGAGTCACCCTACTTGCTCCCTGGCAATACATGCCTTCTGCCTCGCTATTACCCCCCAAGTGCCAGACCTTGGCCTGCCAGCTGTGTCCTTGGGGGCCCTGCCAAAGAAACAAACCCTCTCGCTTAGGATGCAGGGCTCACCAACCCCTGCAGTCCCCCTCCTGCTCCCAGCACACTAGTGGGGTGCCCCATTCCAGCAGGAGTAAGAGAGCCAGAGAACATGGCAACCCAAGGCAAAGCAGGAGAAGAGAAGGAGACAGAGGGGGCTCCCGTGCAGACTGGGCATGTGCAGAAAGCAGGGCTGGACAGTCAGAACCCTGGGGCAGTGCCTGCTGTGGCAGAATTCAGCAGTTTGGGGCTGGACTCTGACCCCATCTCTGTGCTCGGCCCCTTTAAGCTCTATCTTCCTGCCCCATCTCTTTTCTGAGGTCTCTATCCCTATGCCCAGGTGCGCCTTTTTCTGTTGGCCAGGTCTCTCCTCCTTTCCTCATGTCCCTCAGCCCCCCAGCCCCTGTCCCTTTATTCAGCCTCGGCTGAGCCTTACCGTCTGTTCAGGGGACTGGCAGAGTTTGGGAGATTCCCAAATCTCGGATCTTCCTGGTGGCTCACCTTTTCAGTGATGGTCCCAGGAACGGCCAGGTGTCGGCAGGGGTCCCGCTAAGCGATGTTTGACCTCCCGATCTCTCGGTTCCCCAAACCCTGTCCGGGCCCACCTTTGAGCAGCTCCACGGTGCGCAGCTCGAAGGGGATGCCATTCTTCTTGGCGAAGATGTAGACGGCGCGGCAGGGCTGGGACAGCAGGTCCAGGTAGAGCTCCAGGCCCATGGTGGGGCCGGCGGGGGCGGCAGGACCAGGCGAACCACTCAAGGGACACAGGGAACCCGAGCGCTGGGACACGGGACGGACCGGCGGCGCGGCCACGCCTCTCGGATGCGGCTCCCCAGTGGGCGGCTCCGGCGCCCGGACACTTTGGTCCAATCGCTGGCGCGGCCCGGGGCGTGTCTAAGGGGCTCAGGGCCTGGCCACCGAGGCGGCAACAGGATGGTCGCCCCTCGGAGAGTCCCGCCGAGGGCCCCCAGTCCCATTCCTTTTGTGACTGGCTCCTTTCACTTGGCATGATGTCGTCAAGGTTCATCCACGTTGTAAAGGTGTATCGGAATTTCCTATAGTCCGCATTTTACAGATAAGGAAATTGAGGCACGCAATGATTATAGACCCAGAAAGTCTGGCTCCAGAGTCCAGGCTCTTAGCGCCACACTCCAGAGACCCTGGTTCTAGCAAGTGGCAAAGCCTCTGGTCTTGTGTTCAGGGTTTGTGGTAACTCATTTCACTCCAACTGGGCACCATGGAATTCCACAGGCTGGCCCCTGCTCCTGCCAGCCCAGTGCCTCAGTCACATTCCCAGGGTTTGTTTCTTCCCTGTTCTGGGCCTCTGTTTCTCTGTCTTTAAAATGATGGGGAGAGGTTCAGCAATCTCACTTCTGGGCATGTGTTCAAAGGAAATGAAAACAGGATATCCAAAAGATATTTGCACCCCACGTAGATTGTAGCGTTAGTCACGATAGCCAAGATTTGGAAACAACCTAAGTGTTTGTCAGTGGATGAGTGGATAAAGAAGATGTGGTATATATGGACAAGGAAATACTATCAGCCATGAGAAAGAAAGCAATCCTGCCGTTCGCAACAACGTGGATGGACCGTGAGAGCGTTATGCTAAGTGACATAAGTCAGACAGAAAGACCCATACTGTATGATGTCACTTATACGTGAAATCCAAAAAAGCCAAACTCGTAGAAACAGAGAATAGAATAGTGGTTACCAGGGGCTGGGGAAATTGGGGAGACGTTGTTTAAGGAGAGAAACTTGTAACTAGTAGATAAATAAGTTCAGGAGATCTAATGCACATCATAATGATTACAGTCAACAACATCGTATTTAAACTTCACAGTTGCTAAGAGACTTAATCTTTGTAGTTCTCACTACAAAAAAGAAATTATAATTGTATGATGTAATAGGGGTGTTAGTTAATGCCACCGTGGTAATCGTTTGCAACATATAAATGTATCAAGTCAACATCGTTGTACATCTTACACAGTTATGCATCAATTATATCTCAGTTCTTTAAATAAAAGAATAAATAAAATGATGGAGAGGCTAGCGCCCTCCAGGACCCTTGCAAGTCAACACCCCTGGACTCCTCGGCTGAGCCTCAAGCCCAGGCCTGCTCCTTGCCACTCAGAGACCCCCAGGGCCTGCCACCTGGCTGGTCAGATGGTATCAGTGTCACCTGTCACTTTCTAAAACAAGTCCAGCTGAAAATGCATCAGCAGGACCATAATGTTCTACACAATAAGGAACATTTCCACAAAGAAAAGGAAGGTTGGTAATAATGGGTTTTAACTGAAAAAAAAATGTTAAGCTGAGAAATTCAGATTTCCATGTGGAAGTTTTAAAAAGCAGCTAGATACTCAGAGGAGGTGACCGTTCCCTCATCCCCACCTCCCGCGGACCCCAGCAGCACCCAGGGAGGAGCTGGGCGGGATCCTGGGCTAGGGCTCAGCCTCAGTCTGGAAGGTTCGAAACCTGATTTGGTCCATATTCCGGGACTGATCCTTTTCTTTGGGCCTGACTCACATAAACCAAGTCACAAGAGACTGACGGATTTATTAATTTATAGGAGAAAAAATAAAGGGCATTCAGACAGAACGCTCCCAGCTGTTGCTCACAGCACTCTTTGAAGTGCCGTCTCCCAGAAAGCCTGGTAGGGGCCGGAGAGTGAAGGGAGCCAGACAGCTTGCAAGGCACCTTGCAGCTGAGGCTGTAGAGAGCGCAGACGAGACCTTCTGTATTAATCGTCTATTGCTACATAACAAAGTACTGCAAACGTAATGGCTTACGACAACACACATTGATTATCTCACCCTCTCTGTGGGTCAGGGGTGTGGGCAGCGCTTAGCTGGGTCCTCAGCAAGGCTGAAATTCAGACGTTAGCCAGGGCTGGGTTCTCATCTGAGGCTCAACTGGGGAAGGATCCACTTTGAAGCTCACTTGGGTTGTGGCAGAATTCATTTCCTTTTAGTTGTAGGACTGAGCGTCCTGGCTTCCTACTGGCTGTTGGCTGGAGGCCACTCTCAGCTCCTTTCACCTGGACCTTCTAAAATGGTTGCTTACTTTTTCAAAACCAGCAAGGGAGAGAGTCTCTCGAGCCAGTCTGCTAGCAAGATGGAGTCTCGTATAACAGAACGTCATCTCAGAAGGACATGATGTGCCCTTGCCGTATTCCATTGCTTAGAAGCAAGTCACCCTGGCCACACTAAAGGGGAGGGGATTATACACTGATGTGACTACCAGAAGGGGAGATCGCTGGGTCAGCTTAGAATCTGTCTGTCACACCTTCCAAGGGCAGGAGAGTATCATGGGCCTGCAACCTGTGCAGTTGCACACGGCCCTGCACTTAGAAGGGCCCCACACTTGGTCTAATGCTTTGCTATTGCTGTCTAGAAATGCTTAATAAATTTTGAACAAGGGCCCCCCATTTTCACTTGTAGCCAGTCCCAACCAAGGAGTCCAGAGAGCTCACAAGGCTGGACAAGGCACTGTCTGCTCTGGGCAGCGATGGGACCACCTGACTAAGAGCTGCCCTCCAGCCCCTCTCCTATGCCCACATCTTCTCCTGTGGCATCTCACATTCTTGACATTTAAACTGAAACCGTCTTTAGCAGGGAACATGGGTGCACTCAAATTTCCTCAAGAGAAAACATTTTTCCCTTTGAAGAAGGGCCTAGCTGCTTGCTACTCCCATTGTGGTCCTTGCAGCAGCATGAGCTTGTTAGAAATGCAGCCTTGCCCATGAGCTTGTTAGAAATGCAGAATCTCAGGCCCCCATCCTAAACCCCAGACCTAGATGTGTGTTTCTAGGAATTTTCCATTTCGCCTAGGTCGTCTAATTTATTCACATACAGTCGTTCATAGTATTTCTTTATAATCCTTTGCACTTCTGTAAGATCAGTAGTGACAGGCCCACTTTCACTCCTGATCTGAGTAATTCAAGTCTGATTTTTTTTCTTCATCATTCTAGCTAAAGGTTGGTTCATTTTGTTGATCTTCTCAAAAATCCAATTTTTGGTTTCGTTAATTTTTCTCTACTGTTAGGCTATTCTCTATTTCCCCACTCTAATCTTTATCATTTCCTTTCTTTTGCTGTTGTTGGGTTTGGTTTGCTTTTCTTTTTCTAGTTCTTAAGGTGTAAAGTTAGGTAGTGATTTGAGATCTGTCTTCTGTTTTAATGTATGCATTTACAGCTATAAATTTCCCTCTTGGTTCTGCTTCTGCTGCACCTCGTAAGTTTTGGTGTGTTGTGGTTTTGTTTTCGTTTGTTCAAGGTGCATTCTAACTTCCCTTGTGATTTGTTCTTTGACTCATTGATTGTTGTTTAAGAGTGTATTGTTTAATTTCTAGATATTTGTGAGTTTTCTAGTTTCCTTCTGTTATTGATTTCTGATTTCATTCCATTGTGTTCAGAGAACATACATTGTATGATTGCAGTCTGTTTAAATTTATTGGAGTGTATTTTATGGCCTAACTTATGGTCTATCCTGGAGAATATTGCATGTGCTCTTGAGAAGAATGTTTATTCTGCTGTTGTCGGGTGGCGGGCTCTGTATGTATCTGGTAGTTTCAGTTGGTTTATAGTGTTTCAAGTCCTCTAGTTCCTTGATGCTCTTCTGTCTCATTATTCTGTCCATCATTGAAAGTGAAGTATTGACGTCATCAACTATTGTTATTGACAGTTAATCACATTTAACCTTTAATTTTTAAGGTCTTTTTGGAAGTTGGGAGGACCCATGACCACCACCCACTCCCACATCGGACACTATGCTCATACCAACTGTCCCAGGCTCAGCAGCAGTGGTGGCTGTTCTTTATTAGACAAAGAAACCGAGGTGTTTTCAGCGTCTCCCCCAAGAAGGAGGCTCCGAGGGCTGAGCCAGCCAGGCCCTGCAGGAGGGGCTGCTTCTATTTGAACTTCTGCAGCAGCTCGCAGATCCTCTCCTTGACCAGCGGGTCCAGGGTTGAACAGTCCCACTCTTCCAACTTCACCAGCCGGTCGTGGGCCTCCCAGAAGAGACCGGAACCAATGGCCAGCTCCACCCTCATGCGCCACTCAGCCAGCTTGGAGCTGTTGAGGAAGACGTTATGGTTGCCCCCCATGGGCTGTGGATAGACACAGAGGAAGGAGTAGTCAGCCTGGGGACCAGCCTCACCTGGGTCCCCTCCTATAGCCTCAAGCACTTTCCCTGTCTACTTCTGCAAAAAGTGGGTCTGCTGACCCCCGAGGCCTGGGAAAGGAGTCATAGGCTATGTCATAGATACGGGGTGGGGATAGAAGATCCAGAATCCCCCAAGATTCTTGGTCACTGATCTTGCTTCAGGGCTCCTGAATCCCTCTCTGAGGGGACCCCCTGGCCTAGGTGGGTCCTACTTCTCCTGCATGAAACCTCCCATGGGTCCTGCCTTCTTCCAGGGAAACCCCTTGTCCCCAGATGAGGGTGGGAGGAATTTGGTTACTTTTTCCTGATGTTGAACCTCCCTCTGTTATCGAGCACAGGGGCTGGAACAGGACACTCAGCAGGCAGCCCAAGAAGTATGTGCCCAAGATATTTGGGAGGCCCAAAATGGGGTGAGTGTGGGTGAAAAGTAAGGAGGAGGGTGAGACTAGGGGACTGCACCACCTGGGACAGAAAAACTGGAATGGCTTTTCCCAGTGCTGGTCTGCACTGCACACTGATCAGGGACCGAAGTGGCCACTTTTCATATTGGCCAGAGATTATGCTGACCTCTCAAGACATTGGCACACTAGCTAGGTCTGAACTGGCCACCCCTCCTGCATGTAGGAACCACATAAATGTCCCAGACTCAGGTATGCCCCCAAATGCACAGCAGATGTCCCTCAGTCCTAGAGCCAGGGAAGCTGCTCTGTACAGCTATGTGTCTGGAGCTCTGAAAAAGAGGTACGTCAGCAAGAAGGACACTTTGGAATTATCTGGACACTTCCTGGAGAGTCCAGCAGGAGAAGGAGGCATCCGGGATCCTGGCTGACTGACCAGAAATGATGTGTTCTTCTCCCTACCCCAGGCACACCCTCCAGTGCCACAAACACTGAGGCTCCTTGTGAAGCATGGATGATCATGATCCTCCCAGGTTCAAACCTTCTGTGTTTCCTGTGGCCCAGATCAAGTCCATGTACCCAGACCCGGCTCCCACAGCCCCTATGTCTCCCCCTTTGCCAGCCTATCCTTAAGTTATGGCCCTACTGGTCACAGAGGAGTCTCACCTCTGCCCGGCCTCTATCCCCTGCTCCACTCCACTCCACACCTGCATCATCTCCACCAGGGCCACCAAGTCGGCCAGTGAGACATGGTCCCCCGTGATGAACATCTTGTCCTGCAGAAACTTCTCCTCAAAGAGCTGCAGGGTGTTCTTCACCTCTGCCAGCATCCGCTCTGTCTTCTCAGCTGGAACCTCCTCACCTGTGATCATGGGGATCAGCAGCTGGCCAGGGTGGGGGAGAGGAGGGAAGAGGAGGCTGCACCCCAGTGCCATCTGACCCTCCAGGCCTCAGTACCCTTTTCTGCTAGAGAGTGTTGGACAGAACCAAGGATATAAAGTGGTTTCACCTCTTCTGGTTGGTAGAAGTTGCCTGGGGCCAATGTTCAGAAGGATTTTGAGATCCCAGCAGGAAAGAATCCTGTAATTGATTAGCAATGTCTGTCACAGGCATACGCTAAGAAGTATGCGCACATGTACCAGTTGTCATCTTCAGATTGGTAGTCTCTATGGGCCCCTTGACTTGAGTAACACCAGCCCTCCTGGGTGCCCTTCCACTTGCCTTTACAAGGCTCTTTCATACCCAGTGGTTCACTCCACATTCCCAACAGCTCTGCAAGGCAGGCAGGAGAGGGAGCAGAGGAAACAAGGCTGGGGGCAGGAGGGACACTGGCTTGAGCTCACCAGTGGTCAGCCCCAGCTGTGGCCCCACTCACCTTGATCCAGAGCATCTTGCTCATAGGCAGCTGAATGCCCGTGTGCTGCCAGGCCATGAACTCATCCACGCGGGCGCGAGTGTGCAGGTCTGGCGGGTACCAGTGCGAGGGTGCACTGTACTTGCGGCACAGGTAGAAGAGGATGGCCGCGCTGCAGAAAGGGCAGGTCAGAGCACGGCTCCTGCCTTCCCCAATGCTGCTACACCCACCACCCCAGCGTGGCCTGGGCCATAGGCAGGCTTCAGGCTCTGACCTTCTTCGTGAGGAGGAGGAGCCCAAAGGGCCTGGAGAAAGGCAGTCAGCCCACCAGTCAGCAAGGGTGGGAAGGGAGACCTGCAGTGTGTGGGAGTTGGCAGATGGCATCAGGAAGTGCAGTCTAGACCGGGAACAACAGGTGTAGAAATACAGGGCTGAGAAGGAGCGTGGTAAATCTGGAGAAAGGAGGTGGTGAGTGTGACTGGAAGATGCATGTAGGCGGGCAAGGAGTGGCGGGAGACAGCCAGAGATGCTGTGCAGGCCACACGGGGAGGCCCCCAGAGATGCAGGAGGCCATGGACTTAATCCTCAAGGTTATGGGTTATGTAAGCAGGGGGACAAGGAGATCCACCTTGAAGTTTAGAAGGGTCGCTCTGGTGCTGGATGGAGAGTGAGCCAGAGAGGGCAGAAGCAACAACAGAGACGGTGGCCGCCCCAATGCCCAAGCAAGCGGTGCTGGGGTCTGGGGAGGGCAGAGGCTGCGGGGGCTGGGGAGGGTATAGATTAGAGGCAGCCTTTGGAGAGGATGTCCCAGGACTTGCTGCCAGCTGGTGGGGGGAGGGAAAGGAGGAACTCAGGGTTGACGCTGGTGTTTGAGGTGTCTGGGACATCTGGGTCCCAGAGAGTCCTGAGCCAGAGTCTGACATGACATCGAAGTCTGAGGAGCAGGCGGATCTCGGGGCACAGTCAGCAGGTGAGAAGGGAGCAGAGATGGGTGAAGGCAGAGGAAGAGAAGAAGGAGGGAGGAGCGGGGAGGGAGGCCCCGAGGCCCAGCTATACAGGAAAGGGGGAAATATGGCTGAGAGATCAAGGAGGGAAATCCTAAATCCTGAATCAGCTCGGCTGACCCCACAGTAAGCCTGCAAGATGGGTCCCAGTGTATTCCCTATCTGCATCTGAGGAAACTGAGGCTCAGAGATACAACTAACGTGGCAAAGACACAACCCGTTAGCAGTAGGATTGGAGTTTGACCCCAGCAGCCTGGTCCTGGGCCAAGCCCTGCTGTTCTCAACCTCTTGGCATAGCTGGTGACCTTGGCCAGGTGGGGCAGGAGACTCGAGAACTCGGGGGAGGGAGGTAAGAGTTTGAATTGGCAGCAAGGGGATGAGATGGTCTCCAGCCACTGAGGGAGGGTTGAAAGGCAGGAAGAGTCCCCAACACATTCTGTGACCTCTGGGAGCACCACCTTTGGTGGCCAGTCCCTGGGTCATGACTGCTCTGGGCAGACCTGCCAGCCACTCCCATCCCGCACTGGTTCCTCTTGGTTTGTCTGCACGAGCTCACCACTGCACACTCTCTTTGTCCTGCACTTTGAGGTAGGGGCCTCCAACGCTTATTCTGTGACATCAGCCCTCCTGGCTCCCACACTGGGAGTGCCAGGGCCAAAGGGGGCCCGTGCACACCAGCCTATTCTCGAACACCTCCTGCCCCCAGAGCAGACCAGAGCTTGCTGTGACTAGGGGAAACCTATCTCAGGGGAAAGGCACCCTACTGGCATCACAGTCCCTGAGATGATCTAGAAAGGGCATCTGGCCTTCTGTCTGCCCAGCACCTTTCCCTCACTTTTCCGGCAGGGACCTCCTCAACCATCTTTAATCCAGCGATTCTGGTGGGGTGCTGGCAGTCACAGGGCCCTGTGCCCCAGCCAGTGAGTGGTTCACAGGTAAGGGGGTGACTCAGCCTGGGCCCATCTGTGTCCTTCGCTGGGAACTTCGGATCACCTGAGAAGGAGCGGTTACTCCTTGCCCGAGGACCAGGAGCTCCAAAGATGTGGCTACAGGGCTGCCATTGGCCGTGAGTATACACAGAAGGCTGAGGGATGGAGGCCGACACACCCACAGAGAAGCTGACAGGTGAGATGGGTGGGGAAGAGCATGAAAACGGCAGTAGCCAGGGCTGGGGGCCCAGATTCCCCTGGCTTATTAAGCCTGCCAAGAAACTCAAATTAGTTGGCTTGGGTTTCTGCGATTTGCAGCCATTGTCCTCAGCCCCTGACTCAGTGCTCTCATTGACACACCTTGGGAGAGGTGCCTGGGAGGCTGGGGGTGGGGGGGTCATTGAGGAAATGGGAGTGGATTCACCAGGCCCTCGTTCTAGGGCCCAGGACTGGGAGCTGGGAGGCCAGGGACCACCAGGGTGAGAACATGGCGTAATAAGAAGGCCAAAGCCAGAGGGGAGGAGGTTGGGGCTCGAGGTTGGGACCCTGTTCCGGAGAGAACATTGAGGGTATAGCTGGACAACCATTTGCTAAAGAGATTGGGCAGGTGATTTGTGGACTTGTAAGGGGACAGAGACATGGTAAAGTGCAGGAAGGCTGTGGGACTTCTGTGAACCAGACTGACGGAGCGAGTCAACTGCAGACATGTGTTAGCCTTCCAGAAAAGGGAAGGATGACCTGGAGGGGGGTTCAGAGGCCAGCAGGGCTGTCCTGCTGCCACAGGCCCCAGGGAGGACAGTGGGGGTGGGGGCCGGGCCTTGGCTTCCCTAGTTCCCAAGGGTGGGCCTGGCACCCTGATAGGCCTGGAGGACAGAGCGTGGAGTCACACAGGATGATTCTCAAGCCTTCAAATCTACTGGAATTTGCCCTACTAGATTTCAGACTCCCTTGAGGTGTGTGAACGCCTTTTTCCTTCCTAATTTTCTGTTTCGGAGTGGGAATGGCCATCCTGTGCCTGTCCCCCGTTGTGCTTTGGCAGCAGGATGACTTGTCGTCTGGTTTCATAGGTTCACAGATGAAGGGGAATTTTGACACAGGATGAATCATGCCTTGGATTTCACGCAAACCTGATTTGGACAATTTAGATGCTGGCACGGTGACCTTAGTGTTGATGCTGGGGTGATCAAGACTTTTGGAGATGTTGGGATGAGGTGGACTTATTTTGTGCATGAGAAGGAGGTGAATTTGGGGGGACCAGAGGGCAGACTGTTATGCATTGAATTGTGTCCCCCAAAAAAGATATCTTGAAGTCCTAACCCCCAGTAACTCAGAATGTGACCTTATTTGGAAATAGGATCTTTACAGGGGTGATCAGGTTAAAATGAGGTCATTAGGATAGACTCCAACCCAATGTGACGGGTGTCCTTAAAGAAAGGTGAAATTTGGACACAGAAACGGGCACAGAGGGAAAGCAATGTGCAGAGATGCAGGGAGAAGATGGCCATCCACCACCCGAGGAATGCCTGAGGCTCCCAGGATCTAGGAGAGATACCGAGAACAGATCCTTCCTGGCCCCTTCAGGGGGAGCTTGGCCCCACTGACACCTTGACTTCTGTGGTTCTAGGCTGCCCAGTTGGTGGCACTTTGCTATGGCAGCCCTTGGACAGTACCCGGCCCTGGGCCACCCATACCTCCAAGGTCCACTTGGGGGACATACGCTAAAATTATGAGACCGCGTGTGAAGCAGTCTGAAAAACCATCAACCTTGCATCTTACCAAACCTCTAGATCCAACTAGCAATTTACAGGAAATAAAGGGACAGAAACTCATGACGCCACGAGTTACATGAAAATGCAATCCACAGAATTCAGACTGTGGGAAACTCCACTGGATAAAGGGCCCCGTTTCTTCAACCACAACAAAAATTCAAAAGCAAAAGGTGGGGTGTGGAGGGGGCTGTAGATTAAAAGAGATCTAAGAGACAGATCGACTAGTTGCAACACTTGCAGCTTATTTGGACCCTGATTCAAATGCACAAAGTGCAAAGAAAATATTTATGCGATACCCAGGGACTTTTGAATACAAACTGGATATTGGATGAAATCCAGGAATTATTGTTAATTTTATTAGTCGTCGTCATGGTATCGTGATGGTGCCTTTTTTTTTTTAGAGAGCCCTTATCTCTTAGAAGTACATTCCTAAACATTTATGGATGAAACGATGGGGCGGCTGGGAAGCAGAGGAACAGAGTGGGGTACAGAAGAGGCAAATTGAGCCCCTGAGTGGACACCGTGGGAGCTCGGTGGTGGCTAGCCCGGCGATGGTTATACTCCTCATCAGTTGATATTGGTTCTGCGTTAGTGTGAGTGTGAAATTTCCCATAGTAGGAAAAATAAATAAGTGCTAGGAGGTTGGCTCCAGCTGAATCTCCCAGGAGGACCAGGGATGGATGGTGGGAGGGCCCCGGGAAAGACTGTTACCTTTCAGATAAGATAAATTTTCCATCTTTGAGGCAGGGCAGCTTCCTCAGGGGGTTGATCTCGATGTATTCCTTGCTGTGATGGTGGCCTGAGAGGGGCAGGGAAGGTCTGAGGCTGCTGGCACGTCAAGGAAGAGTCATTCAGGTATCCCAGAGGCAGCAGTGCCTTTCTCTCCATTTTCCAAAAAAGGGGAAACAGAGGCCCGGAGGACACTGTGTCTTACCGCGGGTCACAGAGCAAGTCAGTGGCAGAACAGGGACCAGGATCGGGACTCCTGCCCCCACCCCAGGCTCAGTGACCAAGACAACCCTTTGGCTCACAGAAGCTGGAGGCCTCCAGCCCCACCCCCAACTCCTGGCCTGAAACCACAGCCTGGGAATCAGCAGAAGCCCTTTGAGCCTGGGTCCCACCCGGAATCGCCAGCACATGCAATCAACCCAACGTGGGAGTTTTAACTCTTTCTTGACCACCTGCCTCCAGTTGGAAATATTTCCGGGGGCTCCACTCACACCCCATCAGATTCTGGAGCTTCTGTCTCCTCCTCTGTGTTCCAGAGGCTGCTGCCTCTGCAAGTTGAACTTTACAGCCCCCTCCACGCTCAGGTTGGTGCTGGAGCCCAGTGCCCTAAACTGCACCCAGGGGTCTGTGTCACCCTGAGCACCTGGGGAGGACAGGTGTGGATCAAAGCTGCATCTCAACCCTCAGATGCAGAGTGACTGCACGACTGGGCAACCTTTGCCAACCTAATCGGCAGGTGCCGCAGCTTACAAGATGCTGGACTCCCACAAGGAGAAGGCGAGGGTGCTGGGTGGGGGTCTGGGAGCCCCTCTGAAGCTCTTCCTTCCACTTTACCCTATAAAGCCCGTTCTTCACAGTCGGGCAGAATAATTGGGATTGGTGAAGGTAAGCTGGACAGGTGCACAGCCTGCAATCCCCTTGGGAACATTTTCTCCCCCCGTGGACTTTGGGGTGGGGTCTCCTCAGTGTGTGCCTCCACTTCTCGGAAATGCCCGGCCTTGTGCTCTGCCTACTCCCAGGACCAGGCCGCCTGGGCAGCCGCAGTGCCGACCTTTCAGCAGATCCACAAACTGGAAGTCGAAGGGGATGTTGTTCTTCTTGGCAAAGATGTAGACGGCACGGCAGGAGGCCGACAGCAGGTCCAGGTAGAGCTCCAGGCCCATGCTGAGACTGTGCTGAGCCCCTCCAGCCCAGGCTGCAGGCCCTGAACTGGAGCCTGTATGCTACCTGAGCCCCTGGCCCTGTGCCCGCCAGCCAGCCCTTGGCTTGCTCTCTCCAACCCAGACCCAGGCCCCCATGTTCTGGAACTTCTTGTTTCACTTTGTGTTGTCATGAGGCTAGGAAGCCTGGAATTCTCAGAGCAGCAAGGATTCTGAGGAGACCCAAGAGTAGACTGGGGAGAGGCCCCTGGCCTGGGGTCATGGTGTTGGGGCAACTGCGACCCTGCCCTTCCCACCCTTGGGGCACATGGCCCTGTCTGCTTATGCATGGGAATTCCCGGGGCCAGGCCTTCACTGTGGAATGTGACCAAATGGGCTTGGCCGGTCCAGAAGGAGGGTGGGGCGATGAGAACCCCTGGAGGGTTCCAGAACAGAGACTGAGAGTATTCACAGGTCAACCTAGCCTGAACATTGGCTAGGAAAGGATTGGGAGAAAGAGAAACAGGGGCCTGGGGAGATGTCAGGGCGTAGGGGACAACACCACAGGGAGTCAGTCAAGAGTGGCCAGCTGGGTTGTGCCATGCAGAGGACCCCAGAAACTGAGAGGGGACGGGCAGTGGCCTGGCTGGACACCTGGAACTCAGCACCCAATGGTGAGGGAGGTAACTAGACACCGCGGCGAGGGCTGAGTGCCACTCACTTCATGCTGGGTGATCTTGGGAGATTCCCTGTCTGCTCAGAAATGGGGGGGCACCACTTCCTGGGGTAGAGAGAGGCTGCAGACGAGTCAGGGCACATGGCATGTTTCCTGTGGTTGGCAGAGTGCCGGGGAGCGGGCACACCCCTCTCAGCGGAGACACTCCTGCAGCCACTGCGCCAGCTTCTGGGCTAGCTGGGGGTCCCACTGGGCCTCTTGGGGGTCCCGAGGCTGGAGCACAAGTGTATGGGCTTCCTGGGCGAGCTCGGGTCCCAGGGTGGCCTCTACGTGGGCCCGCCAAGCTGCCAGCCGGGGCCGGTCTTGGAAGAGGTCGGAGCCAATGGCAGTGGGCTGGGGAGAGAGGAGAGCTGGGTCGTTGGCTCAGCCTGGTGCCCAGTGTGCTCCCCAGAGGGTGCACAGGCAGAAGAACCTCACCTGCATTAGCTCTGTGAATGCCATCAGACCCGCCAGGGATGATGTGGGGTCGGTGAGCTGAGGAGTCGAAAGAAAGATTTCTTGGACTCAAGATCTGGCAGTAGTGCTCTTTTATTTAGAGAATAGTATAGAATAGCACGGGGACAGGACCCATGGGCAGTCAGAGCTTCTGCCGCGTGGGGACAGGGCCCATGGGCAGTCAGAGCTTCTGCCGCGTGGGGACAGGACCCATGGGCAGTCAGAGCTTCTGCCGCGTGGGGACAGGGCTAAATTTAAGGCATGGGTATGTGAGTTATCTCTTTACAAGACAAAAAAAAAGTTAAAATGGTACCAGTGCCAGTAGGGTCCGGCCATTGGGCGGTCCCACAACTTTTAGGTAAGAATCAAACCGGATTGAGTAAATGGCAGAAGTCACCGCTCAAATATTATCCTCAGCTAAACACAAAAGAGGATTTTGGCGGGGGGGGTGGGGGGGGGCGGTGGGGGGGGCAGTTACATGAGGTTGCCAGACAGTAAACAACTTAAGTTCTTGCCTTCCCCATTAAGAGTTTTCATAGATAAGGCCATCCCTACTTCCTCCTGGCGCAGAGGGAGGAATGGAGATTTCCTTCACAAATGCAACTGTCTCTCATCAAAGGGCGAGCAAATTCCACTCCTCGGAGCCTGCTTCTCATCTGCAGTTTTAAAATTAACCAGCCTAAAATCCTCATCAGGGGAGACTTGCTCGGTCACCAAGAAAGCCTTGGCCACCAGGACTTGCCGATCCAAGTGTTACAGAGCAGCTGTCAGCTTCCCCAACAGCTGCTCCGGCTTTGTGGTGTCCACAGGCTGCCCCAAGAAGTGGAGCAGGAGAGACTGGGTGGGGAAGAGAGGGGCAGCTTATCTTGGGCCCCTCCAAACCTCCTCAGCCTCCTCTCCGCCCTCTCCAGCCACCACCCATTAGTGGTGCCCTGTGGGCTCTGTGTTCAGGATTCTGAAGTTTCGTTCAGGCTCAGGGGAAAGAGTGCTGTGATAGATTAGCCATGTCTGCCAGGGGCAGTGGATGGTAGGTGGGATATGGGCCAACTGGTCCCTTCCAGCCCTAGGGGTCCTGGCCCAAGCCTGCATTATAGCTTGCAGCTGGATGGCGACATGCTGCCATGCCAGGTACTCATCCATGCGGGCACGGGCCTACAGCTCAGGTGGGTACCACTGTGCCTCCATCTGGTACTTCTGTTGAGATATAAAAGGACAGCCACACTGTGGGTGGGGGGGTCAGAGATCTCCCCACCCCTCCAGGACTGGGCAGCTCCATCTCCCACAACAGGGTGATTTGACTGGGTTTCTCTCCGGCTCCACCCCCAGGGGAGGACCTCCCCACTCCCACATCCCCCTCCAGGCGGCATCTTCCCCCGCTGAACGGTTCCATTCCTCCATTTCCAAACTCTGCTTTTCCCTGGGCCCACGTTTCAACCTCCTCTCCCCGTTGCAGCTCTCCGGCCTGCCCTCTGCCTCCAGGCCCAGGTCTCTGGCTTCAGGGTCCCTACGCAGAGGGAGGGGGCAGACCTGCCGTGGACGCCCTCTCTGCCCAGGGGGCCTCCAAGTTTCCCTCTTGCGCCGGTTCTCCCTAGTGCCCAGGGTCTGGGGGAGGCTCAGAGGGTCCCCCTCTCTCGATCCCCCTTGGGTTCCCAGCACTTGGTGCCCAGTTTCCATTGTGGGGCAAGCCCTGGGGGTTGGTTGTGTAATTACCCCATTTTACGGAGGAGAATCCTGGGTGTGAAGTTCTGCGACCTGCCCTGGGCAGAGAGTGAGGGCGGAGGGAGCTGAGATTCAGAGCCCAGTGCCACCCTGGGCTGCCCGGCTCCTGTGACTCTGAAAGGACATGTTCGGGACCTCTGGAGAGGGGCTAACCTCCAGCCTGGAAGGCTGCTTCCTCCACGACCTGCTGGGTGCCCTGCCAAGCCGCCACCCCTCCTGGCTCTGGGGAGTGGAGGTGGGCTGGGCCGTGCCTCTCTTGGGGGTTGGTCACTGGTTTCCCCAAAGCAGGGTCGCCAGACTGGCCCTCCTCCTTCTTCACAGGGTGTTGCAAACCCACGGATACTTGTCCATCCCACTCTCTCCCTCTCTCTGGCTGTCCCCACCCCCACCCCAGCTTCCGGAGGCCAGGGAGCTTCCACAGTCCTCCCGTGGGGGTGACCAGCGGGCTAGGAGACCTGCTGGCAGGCACAGGCTTCAGGTCTTTCGGGCTTTCCGTGTCTCCCCTCCCACTGTGCCTGTGCCACACACACACACTCACTCACTTACACATACAAACACACACACTCACACATAGTCACACACTACATGCCTCCCAACCCAGGCCTCTCCTCTCTCCACTCTGAGTAACCATAAAGCCCTCTCAACTGCCCTTGTCCAGTGTCCCCCACCTCAGCTGTGGCATCTGCAACCCCTAAGGCTCAGGCCAGACCCCCGGGAGCCGGCCCTCTTCCAACCCAACCCTCCATGACCACGTGCTGTCAGTCCCCCTCCTGTACCACTCACCGCCCCCCCCCCCCCCCCCCCAGCCTCTGGGTGTCCTGGCCGACCTTTCCAGCTCCCAGACCAGCTGCCCCGCCTCCATTCCCCGCCCTTGGCCTGGTCCACACAGCACAGGACCAGAGGGGATTTCTTTTGTTTTAGTGGTACAAACAGCCTCTGTTGGTTGCAACAGTAACTGGAAGAAAGGAGGGATACGACAGCTCTTGGGGAGGCTCCAAAAGCTACAAGGGATTGTGAAAGTCCAAATCTCACCCCATGCTCCCTGCCCAACACCATTCCATGGCAAGCCCCCAACCCCTGCACCCTTGTACCGCCTCAGCCGCTGGGGCCGCACTCGCCAGCCCTGTCCGTTTACCTCTCTGCCTGCACGGGCCTTCCTCCCGAGCGGCCCTGTGCACCTCTCTTCTCTTGGGGCCCAGGTTTTGGGAACACCGGGTGCTGGATTGAGGGCAGGGCCTCCGTGGGTGGGGAGGACAGCCAGGACCTGGCCTCCACACTGGCTGTGCTGGTTGGGCAGGTCATGGAGCAGACAGCAAGCCAAAGGAGACCTGGCCTTCCTGGGCACCCAGCCCCATTCTGGGGCCCAAGGAGCTCAGAGCCACAATCTGGCCTGGAGAACTGAAGTTTGCTAGTGGCTAGGACTGTTGGGGACATACCTCCCCCCGCCCATGTACTCGCAGGCTGTGTGACTTGAGCAAGGCTGATCCTACCCTTGGTTCCAGGGACAGCACACGGCCCAACCCAGCCAGTAAAGACCCTGCACCCCTTGGCCACTCTGATTGGATCAGGCAGGGCCACTGCGAGTGAGTCCTGGGATGGTAGTAGGCTCCCTGGTGAGGCCACCAGGCTGCAGGGGTGCACACCTGGCTAGACCTTTCCCCAGTGGAGAGGGAGGGCCAGTGCAGGGCAGCCCCTAGGAGCCAGGCTTTGCAGAACCAGCCATCCTGGAGCCCAGGCAGCCAGGGAGTGGAGCCAGGCAGGCCTGGCAGAGCCAGCTGCTGCCCAGCAAGCCTGTAGTGGAAGCTGGGCCCAGGCCTGGCACGCCCAGAGCCCTCAGGGAGCCCTTGGCCCACTGCCCTGGCCCCGCAACCCCATCCTGGGCAGAAAGTCCCCATCTGGGTTTGACATCTTGGATCCTGGGCCACAGCTCTGCGGTAAAGAGGAGGAGTGAGGGAGGGGAGGAACAGACGGAGAGAGAGAGACAGGAGACAGGGAGGAGAGCAGCGAGGTACTCATTCATTCACTCACTTATTCCTTCATTCATTCACTCACTCATTCCATCATTCATTCAACAGAGAGTGCGACTCAGAGACAGACAGAACAATGGCAGGAGAAGGACAAGGACAGGTGACCAGAGAGTAGTCTTTATTATGTCTCCTAGCTCTCCAAGCAGGGCCTGTGGATGGAGCTCTGGCGGGGACTCTGGAGGGATTTTGATGACTATCTGCCCCAGGATGCTCAGGATGGGGCAGGGTCCTCCTGGCACCAGAAACCCAGGAAAGGGCTGTTCCTGGCTGTTCCAAAACCAGGAAAGACTTCACTCACTCATGCCGTGCCGCCAGCCACGGCCACCCCTCCTGACACATCACAGCCCAGAGCCGCGGGCTGCTGGGTCA